AAGAGAATTAAGTTATCTAAACGGGGATATTTCTTCGGATGAACAGAGTAGCAGCACATTTTGCGACATTGATTTTGATTTTTATAAACTGAACCAGAGTTCTAAGGTTCTGAAAGGTAACTCTGTAATGTAGAGATTACCGTGAAGGTGTTGGAATGTTGTGCGATGATGGCTGTATCGTCCGCATATAAAGCAAGATCGATACTAGGGGCCTTAGGAATGTCATTTACGTAGAGGTTGAAAACTGAGGGCCCGACGAGACTGCCCTGTTCGACAGCCGGCATAGATCTTTGGGCGGGGAGTGGAATTTCTTATTTCGTGGTTAACTTTCGCACACGGAAACTTTGTCCGGTCAAGTACGATTTTTGTTAATAATTTTAATGAAATGAGCCGAGGAAAACCAAACCGCATGAGCTTGTAGATAAGTCCGTCATGCCAAACCCTATCAAAGGCTTTGGCTACGTCAAGATAGACGATACCAGTTTTCTCTCGCTTGCGAAAGCCTTCATGAATGAATTCCACTACACGTAATAACTGGTGTACAGTGGAGTATTTATGTCAGAAATTGTTCCGGGATGATCAAATTTTGATCTCGACAGAATTCATTCAGGCGATTAAGCAAGACATACTCGTAGATGGAGAGAGAGAGCAGACTAATTGGTCTGTAATTGACGGGTAAGTTTAAATTTTGTCCCGCTTTTGGAATAGGCATGACTGCTGCAGTTTTCCAACAGTCGGGAAAATAGCTTTTCCTGAGCATTAAATTAATAAGGACCGTAATCCAGACAATAAACATTACGGGGAATTTTTTGATCATGCGATTCGAAATTAAATCTATGCCAGGGGGCCTTGTCAGGTTTAATTTTATCAATGTAAACCATGACTTCAGTTGGATCAGTTAGCCTGAGGTCAGGCGTGAAAGGTTGTGATAGAAAGTCTTGAACCCATGAATGGATGCGCCCCTGTGTAACCGGGCGGTTACAGTAGGAGTCGTTGTTTGGTGTGAATTGAGTAGCAAGACTGTCAGCAATAGCTTCGGCCTTTTCTGAGTCTGTGTAGGCCATCTGTGAACCATCGGCCGTTTCAAGGGGCGGAATGAGCTTTTAATAATCGCGTTATCGTTATAATGTTTGCTGAGCAGCTGCCCTATGTTTAAGCGTGGTTTTCTTTCCACGAGACCGCTTATTAGCTGGGTGTCGAGGACAAGATTTATATGAGGCTGGATGACTTCCACCACAGTTGCAGCAAGTTGCAGTTACATCAAGCCCCTTGGTGCACTCACGTGCCCAGCGGGGTCCAGAGTATCTCACACAACGGATTGGCAAAAGGCAGAGTTCCGAAGAATGGAAAAATCCCTGGCATCTAAAGCATTGAGTAGGGCCCTTTCGGCCGCGATAACGCTCAATGCTGACCTCTGTACCCCCACATGTCAGTGACGGCAAACAGTTGGTCGAGGAAAGGGTGTGGAATGACTTGTACATAAACAAGTGGCATAGGATGTCTGGAGCCGGGCTGGTAAAGCCGAACGTAGCGATGCACTTTAAATCCCAGTGACTCGATTTCCTCTTTGACGTCCTCGACATCAGTTTCCACAGGGAGGCCTCTGACAACAATTTTGACTGGCCGGTCCTGTTTAAGATCAAAAGTTTTGAATTGGATGCCGGCTTGCTTCATCCAACGTGTGACCTCCCTGAGCTCCAGTTCAGTCTGTACAAAATTTTTTTCAAATTGTCCAGTGAGAGTACTCTTAAGGTTTGGGGCAATTTCTCTTAAGAAAGACACCTGGGTCTTCCAGTTCTTGCTACTCCTTATATGAATAGCCGGGATTTGATTTTGAGGCTGTTGTGGAGGGGGGAACGCTCCGTGCCTGCTCGGAACTGGTTTCTTCTGCTCGGAACTTCTTTCGGTGCCTGCTCGGAACTTCTCTCGGAAGTTTGCTCCTTGACGGGGTCACCGCCGTTGATGAGCCATTCTTTAATAGCTTCATACTTGTTTTTACTGTTTTTTCTAGCTTCGAATGCTATCAGCTTGTTTTTAATGACGAACCAGTTTCTCCCTGTGTTAACCCCAAAGCGATCTATGGTGATTGGCTGTTGTGACAAAGCAGAAAAATTGTTCCAAACAGTTGTTCTTCCGAAACAAAACGACGTGTGATAGCAGCCACACAGTAGGACAACAGACACTAACGTTTAATGCAATAGTCTAGGAATGCGGGAATATGAGTCTTAACACAGAGAAGATGACACACAGATGATTTGGATGAGAAAAATAATAAATCCGTGTATTTATATAATAGCGTGTATTTTCTACGTTAAACAAGGAAAAAGAATTTTTTTCTCAAACTTTTAGTTCGAATTAACGAGATATTTTTAACATTAATTCCAATACGAATTTTGGGGAGTTTAGTTCGAATTCGAATTAACGAGCTTCCACTTTACAGGCGTGACAAGCCTAATGGCCAGAATAACGTAACAACGTGGACTTCTGCATGAGGGACACACTCTGACTCAACAATCTAAAATCTTGATTTAAATACCATCTCTTTCTAATTCGTATGAATATTTGCGAGCTCAAATTTGTATTCTGGCAAGAAAACGGAAAGCGAGTAGGATAGAAAAGTCAATAAACATAAAATAGCTGGTTAGATAAACTAAATAAATCTTTAAACGTGGTTTCCAATGGCCTTTTTCTTTCACACACTATTCATCATTAGTTCTAAAATTCTTTCACAGCTAAATTTTAAAACTATGATCTCGAAATATTTTTCTACTTAACATAAACTGCTGCCCATTAAAATTGCTATACCACGAAGGTGGCATGTAACAGAGATCAAATTTGAATGAAAAACATTACATGCTAGAATATGCAAATGATTAACAGTCCAGCACATAGCCGTAAAACAGGACAGGTTTGAGCAATTCCATCTACGTTGTGTATAAACGGGAAGATGGCACAGCGGACTCCTCGTTTAGAAATCGCATTTGAATTTTGGTTATTTGTGTATATTTCGTGTTGCACCTCATATAAGAAGAAAAACTCTTACCAGATCGTATCAGAATTCGATCGAGGCAGGATCGTGGCCTGGGTGGGTCAAATTGAGCCATATTGAACTCCATACACGATCTCAAGTAACCCGGATCACTGATGCCCGAGGACAGACATGGTGTCCTCTCGAACTTGCGTGACAGTAGACCTAGGTCATGTATCCTGAATCAGGAAGTAGGCTCGTGTGCATGATGATAAGTGACCGCATGGACACTGCGACGACGTCTGCAACATCACGGACTGATAAGATTGTAGAGTCATTAGAGTGTTTTGATGCTGGAGGAGTGAAATATGAGCAATGCTCTCGCCGGGACTCGAACATGGACTTCTTGGATACTCGTTGAGTGTGCTACCGTTGCACCATGAAGGCATGTAGAAAGGAGGGGAAAAATACCTTATATGCCCCCGTTTTAACTGTGGCTCCTTTTAATCCCCTTGATCCTAATCCCCCTCACTGAGATTAGTGGCTTAATCGGCGAATCCTTGTGGTGAAGAATCATCATCCACCACCTTTTTTAGTTCGGGTGCCACTGTAGAGTTAGGTTTTTTCGAAACAAGGAAATCGAAGAAATCCGCAATTCCTTCGTCGTGATTCGAACCCTGAACCTCTCGCGTACGCACCGAGTGTGCTACCGATGCACCAGGAAAGCATGCAGAAAGGAGAGAGAAAATATTTTTTAAGATGGCTACCACTACCCTTAATACTGCAGCATATGGGCAGGCCTACAGCGGTAGGACGAACGTGGACACTGGACACATGAATGGCGCCACGTCATCTTTTCAGACTAATCCAAAATTCTGCGCACAGCATCATGATGGACGTACTCGTGTATGGAGGTATTGAGGAGAACGAACGCTGCCAGATTGCATTCGTACTTGTCATACTCGCCCAGCATCTGGCGAGCTGGTATGGAATGCCGTTACATCACGGTTATTTCCTGTTAGCATGGCTGGTAATGTGGATATCCGAAGTTAGATTTCTGACGTATTAAGGTCTGTGTCTATGCCCTATTTATTCTATAATTATTAATTTGACTTTATCATGTTTAAAAAGTTTTTATTAATAAAAGATTTTCTTTCTCGCATTAACTTATTAGGTATTTTCTCCCTCCTTCCAGCATGCCTTCATGGTGTGTTGGTAGCTCAGTCGGCGCATATTCGAGAGGTCCAAGTTCGAGTTTCGGCGAGGGCATTTCTCATTTTTATGTCTTCTGTTTCAAAATAACCTAATGATTCTACAGTGGCGACCGAACTAAAAGGTCGTGGACGATAATTCGTCACTACCAGGGTTTAGCAATTGGGTCTCTTAGTCGCCCTTTAAGAGGATTATGTAAGGTATTTTCTCTCTCCATCATGCCTTCGTGGTAGCACACTAGGCACATATTCGAGAGGTCCTTTTTCATGTATCAAGTTTCAGAATAACCTAAAGACTCTATAAAATTTTGATCGGTATAAATTTTAAGAAAATTACAGAATCAAATAAACTTACATAAAAAAAAAAAAAAAAAAAAAAAAAACATAATGTAAAACTAAAATTTAAAATAATGAATTAAATGTCAAAAAATATGTTTTACTTGAAAACTAATTATGTTTGAACTAGTTTAATAAGCTATATCATCCATAAGGTAACTTCGTTCAAATCAAACTCGTCAGTTTTCATGTTTCCATGTTTATTATTATTATTATTATTATAGGAGTATTGTTAACTTAGCAGCATCTCTATATTTTGAACTGAATTACTCCTTCGATTTATAGTAATGTATGTAATTTGAATTTTTTAATGAAAAAATACTATAAATAAAATTATATGAAACATTGATATCAATCAAACTATCAAGCTTGTGTAAAATTAAAATATGTAATATTCTTATAGCTTCTAAGAGTTTGCATTATCAGTGGAAATTTTAGAAAATTATGAAATATTTCATTTTACCAAACGTTTAAATTTTCGACAGGCATCAAGACCCAAATTATGGAAAGCTTATAAAGATCAGATTAAAGTTGTGACAGCAAATACTGAAAGAGGAAGTAATCTGCATGATCTTTATATGACTTTATCCTTGAAGTGTGTATCTGCTAAAGATCGCATTGATGTTTTAACAAGACTTAAAGACTCAATCCAGGTAATAGAAAAGCTGTCCATATATTGTTTGTCCACATACAGAAATCAGCAAACACTTCAAAATCATTTCGGAATGATGTCAGTTCTGTACGCCTGCAGCCAAACTAATGCTAAGGTGGTGATGCAAACCTATTTTTGCTATGCTGGCTACATTGGCATAGCTAGGCTTTGCAATGAAGTACATCTGTCCCCGAGTAACGCATTCAGAAGCCGTCAAGTTATGTTATGAAATTTTAGAATGAAACGTTTTCCATTCTTTCCAAACAGTAAGGGTTGCAAAATCTTGAGTTTGTCCAGAGGGCTGCAAACCTTAGCTACGACTTTGGGTGGCAACCGATACGTGCAATACCTGGGATCATTTACCTTCAACATGGGAAAAACAAAAGATTTACCTGATTGCAACAAAGGTTATGTCATTTTGGTAGGACCCTTTGAAAAACTTTATGAAACAGCCAGGGCTTGATTTCTAAGATTAGAAGTGCCAGAGCCCTATGGAAGACCATCAGCAAAAGGAACAAGAGTAAATAAATAAATAAAATGACTATTAAACTCATTAATAATTTAAAAATTAAACAGTTAATTATTATCAAATAAATTAAATTTAATATTTGTTATTAAATCTATAACTATTATATAATATTAGATAAATAATTAATTATAATTTAATTGATAATTATTAGGTAATTAACTATTATTTATTGAAATAATTAAAAAATTAAAATTAAATAAAATGTAAAGAGATAAATTGAAATTTAATAAGCGATTTTTAATATAATTTTATTGTTAAAATAAAAATTTCTACTGAAATTGTTATTCAGTTAGATAAAAGAAGTGCCGCAGCCTTCTTATTCAGGGCTCCGGTGCGTTCCGGCTAGAATTATGATTTATTACAAAAACTAAGAAGCACCGGAGCCGAAATCCTGTGGGCTCCAGCTCAATTTAAGCTCAGATCGTAGAGGGGAGTAAAAAAGTTATTTTATCATCACAAAAATTAAATATACTTTAAGTATAGCTGATAAAAATTTCAGGGCGAAACAGGATGAGGGTATGAGTTGGTGAAAACAAAAAATGAGGGGAACCTTGGTGTGACAGAGAACGTTCTCTTTGACTGCGGCTCTCTACTGATATAATTATACCCATAAAGCAGATGTGTATCAGGGGTAAAATGAGTCCTGAATCTGACTCCTAAGGATGAATGTAAAGTTGCTGTTTACGCTTTCCCCTACATTAGTGAATACTGTGGGAAGACAATGTATAGGATGTGCTTGAGCAGTTTATCTCAGTCTTTCACTCTTATTGTATTCGCTGTCACTTATAACGCACATTTAAGAACACAAATTGTCCTTCCTGCGAGGATAACTAACCATCGATAACAATACACTAGATACGAAGGCATGGCGAGAAATTTACGCGTTCCTAAACAAAATTCCGGCAAATTTATTGCCCTTCTTAAAGGGAAAGGTTTCCGCATGTGAGTGAGGGGACTTTACTTGAACGTCTCATGTTCTCATGAGTTCGTATTTCTAGGGAAATAGAGTATTGCAAGGTCTGCTTATTGTTCAACTAAAACGTTAGGAATTCTAAATTTTTTTATTCCCTTTTAAATTGTAGTTCAGTTTTATAAAAAGAAGTACCGGAGCTCATCTTATTTAGAGCTCCGGTGCGCTCCGGCTAAAATTGTAATTTATCTTAAAAATTGAGAGGTACCGGAGCCGGGCTCCGGTGGGCTCCGCCGCAATTAAAGCACTGGAAACAGCGACACTGGTACGTTGCTCAAGTTGTTGTAGGTCATTATGCAGTAAATTGCATCCACCAAACATTGTATGAAACGCTTAATACTTTGAAGCGTAGGTAGAGCAGTGGGGACGGCTTGAATTTTTGGCTAATGGATGTATGTAACTCACGTAGAATTCAATTAGTACTTTATTTCGATCACAATTGATTCATTCATTTCAAATGCATTATTTTTAATGCCTCACTGTAAATATTCTTCTTATTCATTAATGTTTTTAACGCTATCATAAACGCTGGAAAAGACATTCGTAATAAATGATGCGTATGTAACATTCATTAAAAATAAATAAATAATTTCAGGCGGATGCATCAATCACAGTATCGCCATGTATGGAACAATTAATTTCTGTTTTGCTCAACTGATAAGACTACGATTACTGCTTTTTCAATTAATGTAGTATTTATTTATTTTGTTTCGCATTTTTTATGTGACGTAGTTCTTTCTATCTTACAACGCAGAGTATTTTTCCTCCTTGAAGAAAGATGGCACTCATGCCTTTCATCTCTTGAAATGAATAGAATAGAATGTTTTTACTTAAAATTTCAAATGAGGACGCTTCTTTTTTTTACATTCAATATATGTTTATCATTAATAATAATAATGTTAGATTAATAAGATGATGTTCAAAGGATGAAAATATTTAAAATAATCGTAAGAAATTTCTCTGTAACTGAATGAATAAGGTCTGCTTAACGTAATTTTCAAATTTTGGTAGGAAATCAGGAACTCTGAGTGTCTGCTGGAAAAGTAAAGTTAAAATTCTGATATGTATACCACATGACTTTTTTGTACAGAATATTAAAATATACGCATTTTTTCTGCATTTCATTTAAATTTATTTCCTCGAATTTCATTAGAGATATATTTCTCATTCAATTAATTCAGATCCCACTCCACGGCAAGGTAAAAACACATAAAACCTCAAAATATCTTTATTAAAAATGGAAAAATATAAAACCCAGAATACAGTTAAAACAATTAAAAAATAAATTTGACAATTAAAATTAGAGTTACTAAGCAAAAACAAGTAATTCGGTCAACGGGCGTGAAGTCATTTCTCGGTGCACAAAACTGAAAGTTTACTTTTGGTCATACTTGGCAAAAAGACACAGGAGGTGGAGAAACTGACTTGATTTACTATTCTGCTAAGTTTCAAATATAAACAAATATGGCTGCTATGGTAAAGAAATAAGCTTAGCCGCACTTAAACAACTTTTTAATTGTTGATAATTCTACAACTACTGCATGCAGATTAACTTGTAAAGTCTATGTCTCTTTGGGAATATAAGCTTTTAAAAGGAATCTTGAAAAATTATCTTCTAGCCTCGCGAAACAAAACAGAAATCAGAAGAAGGGTGTATAAGACCCTTTTATTCAAACATAAAATTAACAATTACCCAATTTGGGTTACAAGAAGCCATTCGCTCCTGGCTTAACAGAATAACGTAGAAAATACTAATTTCAAGATGTGATAGATTAGCCTAACGGCTCACAGAATACTTTAACACGCAGGAAGAGCTCTGGTTTGTAGTAAACCGTCGAGACAATCCTAATGGCTTGAACACTCAACGCCGCTAACGCAAGTAGCTAATAATCACAGCATAGTGTGGCCTGGAATAATAAACTCTGGTTATCTCATTTACATTCTGGCATGAAAAGCATGGGTGAAAGGAGAGTAATAGAAAAGGTTTTTTAACTTAAAATGAACCATTAGTTAGAAATAAGACCTCGTTAAAAGCTTAAATTCCAACTATCTAAACTACCTAACTTTACCACAGCCCACCTCTTACAATAAGATTAAATCTTTTGAGAGTAATTAAATCTAAAAATTCAAATTTTATATTACACTACCTTGACTCACTTCTTGGCATTTACAAAATTTCAGCTGCTCACAAAAGACTTTAGCAAAAGTTCAACGAACAAAATATAAAATTTTCGCAACTTTTCACTAAATTTTCTTTGTACTTTCAAGCCATGCATTTATTCCACAATTAAATCTCTTCCCCCATGCTCTCCAGAGGAATTGGAATGCAGAAGTGAAAAGTGTCTTTTGTAAAGGTGTTTATAGACACTACCAACTAACCAAGCATCTACGTGTTATTAGAATTTGACACACAAGACCTCAAGGACTACCTATTTATAAAAACTGCACCTAATGTGCTAAAGAAAGCTTGATTTAATTTTAAGTGTTGGCTGGAGAGCCTAACTTACTCCATGCGCACAACTAAATTTACTTTTAAGTTTCTTAATTTGAAAGTTTGCAATCACATTTCATTCATCTACACTCTTAGACAAAAGAAAAAAAAAGACTCACGGAGAAAATATAAAGCAAATTGGACACAAATTGATATGCATACAGGTTTCGACGGAAAATGCAAAAATTTTACAATTTTGCTGCCAATGAACGAACGGTTGGCGCTTTAGCGCATCTGATCTGCGCAACTGACAGGATATTTAAGAAGAGAAATTACGATTCCAGGTCATTAATTCTTCACGAATTTCATTCCGTGTACTCTGGTAGACAGGAGACAGGAGACCACTGGGTGAGCAGCTGTGCCGCCATGAAGACTTTCAGCTTTATTGCTCACTCAGTGGGACCACGTTTATTTAAAATTTTATTACAATAATATATTTTATATTACAATAATTCATAAATAGTTCACTCTGGTAGACAGTAATTATGCCTCGCATACAGGTGCACGAATGATATGCGCAGATGTCAGAATTTGGGAGAGGTCGTGTAGTTGGGATCAAAGAAGCCGCTTGGATTTTCGGTGAACAGCTCGACATTTGAGCAGGAGCGATGCCACTATTAGACGATGTTGGCAGGAATGGGTGAACCATGGCCGCAAACAACATCAAGAAGAAAGCGGTAGGCCTAAAGAAACGACAGAACGTGAAGACCGAGCGATCGTCAGAGTGGCACTCACAGCCCCAGATGCATCATTATCATCGATTGTACGTGCAACTAGCGCTTTAGTGACCGCAAGTACCATTCATAGACGGCTCACAGAAAGGGGGCTGAGGTCACGCCCCCCCCCTCTTTCGCAGACTACCACTGACCTCTGTACAACGTCAAGCCCGTTTGCAGTAGTGTCGGGCTTATTCGCACTGAAATGCCACTGACTGGAGTAGAATAGTCTTCAGTGATGAGTCCCGTTTTGAACTGAGCCCCGATGACCAGCGATGGCGAGTCTGGAGACGCC